CAATCCTGGTTTCACTTTCTCCAAGACAGACTTATTTGTTCTCCTGCCAATACATGGGATATTCAGTACTCTTCCTCAACACTACAACTTAAAAATAACTTAAAGGTCCATCAATAGATACAATATATAAAAACACTGCAATATTCTACAACAGCTAATATGACTAAGGTGCGTCTGATACAGGCCATGGTCTTCGCAATCACTTGTTATGCATCAGAGAGTTGGACAATGACCAAGGAAGATAGAAGGAGAATTGATGCCTTTGATCTGTGGTGCTGGAGAAGAGTATTGAGAATACCATGGACTGCTAGGAAAACAAACATATTTGTCCTGGAAAGGGTTAAACCGGGTGGCTCCTTGGAGGCAAGGATTCTGAGGCTCCGTCTAACATACTTTGGACATGTTGTGAGGAGAGACCGGTCCTTGGAGAGGGACATCATGCTTGGGAGGGTGGAGGGACAGCGCAGGAGAGGAAGGCCCTCTATGAGGTGGATTGATTCAGTGACTGGGATAATTGGGATGGGAGTGTCAGAGACAGTGCGATTGGCACAGGACAGAGCAGAGTTTAGGGCTGTTGTACATAGGGTCACTATGAGTCGCAAGCGACTCGACGGCACATATCAACAACAACAACAATATGAAATCATGGATAAATTTCTAAACCATAATGCTGGGGGACAGGGAGCTCTAGTAGTGTAGTGGTAAGAAGTGGTGCTACAATCTCAAAGGTATGTGGTTTGACTCCACCAGCTGCTCTGCAGGAGAAGGAGGGGCAATCTCTTCCTGTGTGATTTACTGCCTCTGAAAACCCACTGGAGGGTCAGCTACATGTCGTTCTGACTCGACAGCACATAACAACAATGCTGCAGGGGGCAGAAAATAAATGTGTGTGTGTGTGTGTGATTAACTACATATATTTGGGGGGAGGGTTTGTTTTCTTTTTTGATAAAATTTTCTTTTATTAATTTAATGAATGTTTACAGAGAAATTATATTTCATTCATTCCTTGTTGCACATTTTACCGTCTCTCCCAATTCACTTTAAAAAAAAAAATTTATTCACTGTTACACAATTACCTACCTCCCCCATCCCTAGTCCTCTTTGCAATGATGTACTTCTTACTCTGGGCTCTTGAGGTATGTAAAATAACTAATCATATATTCCTTTTAAACAGTTCTTTCCTTCATCTGTTCCAATGTAATGGTCATTATTTACTCTTATCCCATTCTCCTCCCAATCCCCCATGTCAGACCTGCTTTATAACAGTATATATTTTAAAAACTCAGAAATACTATTTTACATTGTCTATGTATTGTTGTTTCGCACCTCAAGTTGCCAGCGACTCATAGCAACCCCATGCACAACAACTCTGAATCCTGCTCTATCCTGAACCAACCTTATTGTCTCTGACACACCTACCTTCCTTTACCCCAGTCACTAAGTCAATCCACCTCATCTAGGGTCTTTCTCTCCTGTGCCATCCCTCCACACACCCCAAGCATAATATCTCTCTCCAAGGCCTGGTCCTTCCTTGCAACATGCCCAAAGTATGTCAGATGGAGCTTCACCCTCTCCAGGGTGAAACTTTTTGTTCTCCTAGCAGCCCATGGTATACATTCAATACTCTTCTTGAACATCACAGCTCAAAGGCATCAATTCTCCTTCTATCATCCCTAGCCATTGTCCAGCTTTCTGATGCATAGTAAGTAATTGCAAAGACTATGGCCTGGATCAGGCGCACCTCCATTTCCAGACTGATGTCATTGCTCTGTACATTGTCAGTACTCTGGAGAATTCCCTGACAGCATACTCCCCCAATGCAATTTGTCTTTTGATTTTTCTGGCTGCTGGTACCAAGAGTGTTGATTGTAGAGCCATGCAAACTAAAGCTGTTCACTATCTCAATCTCTTCACCATCCATCATGATGCTGCCAATCAGCCCAGAGGTGAGAATTTTCCTTTTCTTGATGTTGAGCTTCAATCCATATTGAAGGCTGCAGTCCTTGACCTTCTGCAGCAAGCACTTCAGGTGCTCCTCAGTTTTTTAGCATACTAGAAATATTTTATAATTTAAATATTTCACATTAAAAAGGTTTGTCAATATGACTCATATACCTGCTTTATAGGGTCTATCTTACAAAATAAGGACAAAGGTTAAAAAAATCGGAGTTTTGTTTGCTATAGGAAAAAAAGAAAAACTTGAAGAAAAGCAAAAATGCACAGGAATAATTATTCCAAAGGGCTAATGTTGTCTAAAGGGCACACAAATCTCAGCCAGTATGACCACGAGACCAAAACAACTAGATGGCACCCACCTATGATTATTGATCACTCTGATTACAGTATAAGAACCCAGATAGAGTAGGAGAAAAATGTGAAAGAAAACTCAAAAAAGAAGAAGACCAGGTATACTGCTGTGAGAGAGACTGGTGGAACCTTTGGGAATCGTTAGACATTGTTCAATGCTGGAAGTGAATTCAGCCCTCATGGATTCACTTTCAGTCCAAAAAATCACTCACTGCCATCAGTGACTTAGATCATAGTGACCCTTCATCAGGATTCCAAGGCTGTAACTCTCAATGAGAAGAGACTGTCCCTATTTCTTCCACAGAGTCACTGGCGGACTCAAAACATGGGAGACACAAGTCCTTCTGTTTAACAGCACGTGATAGAGATGCAGAGCTCCTAGGCCAGGAAACAGTGCCTATAAAGTGGGCAATAACACCAAGGAGGTATGCACTTCACAGAATAATCAATCATACAAGACCAAAAGGGCTGCATTTGCCCAGGGACAATGCTCAGAAGGCAGGAAGGAACAAGAAACCAAAAACGTGGGAAGATTAGTGTGAAGAGGACTGTTACATTATAGGGGTTGTAATTAATGCCACAAAACAAAACATGGATGAATAGTTAAATGGAAAATGCAGAGCAGATTATCCAAGAGGCTGGGCTCTATGAGGAGAATTGTGGCATCAGGATTGGTGGAAGATCTATTAACAATCTGCGTTACGCAGATGACACAACCCTGCTTGCTGAAACTGAGGAGGACCTCATGCACTTGCTGCAGAGGGTCAAAGACTGCAGCCTCCAATATGGATTGAGGCTCAATGTCAAGAAGACAAAGATTCTCAGGATGGATGGCGAAGAGATTGAGATTGTTCACAGCTTCAGTTTGCTCGGCTCCACAGTCAACACTCTTGGCACCAGCATTCAGGAAAACAAAAAGTGTATTGCGATGGGAAAGTCTGCTGTTAGGGACCTCTCTAAAGTACTCAGGAGCAACAGTGTCTCTCTGGAGACTAAGGTGCGCCTGATACAGGCCATGGTATTTGCAATCGCTTGTTATGCATCAGAGAGTTGGACAATGACTAGGGAGGACAGAAGGAGAGTGGATGCTTTTGAGCTGTGGTGCTGGAGAAGAGTACTGAATGTACCATGGACTGCCAGGAAAACTAACAGATTCATCTTGGAGAGGATTAAACCAAGCTACTCCTTGGAGGCAAGGATTCTGGGGTTTCATCTGACATACTTTGGACATGTTGCCAGGAGGGACGGGTCCTTAGAGAGGGACATCATGCTTGGGAGGGTGGAGAGATGGCGCAGGAGGGGAAGATCCTCTATAAGATGGATTGATTCGGTGACTGGGGTAATCGGGATGGGTGTGTCAGAGGCGGTGCGGTTGGCGCAGGATAGAGCAGGGTTTAGGGCTGTTGTGCATAGGGTCGCTATGAGTCGAAAACGACTCGACGGCACATAACAACAACAACAACTATAAATTTTCATCCAAATAAAAATTTTTTTTCGAAAAAAGGAAAACAACTGGGAGAATAAACTGCAATATAACCACATAATGAAATATCATGTGGCCATAAAAATGTGATTCTTTTTTTGGAACATTAAATTAGAAAGATAAGCTATAGTAGAAATTCTGTAACTTTACTAACAAAAGTGTATTGCTAAGTAAATTAGTATCTAACCCAAGTATAAAACCTAATGATCACTCCCACATGGGGAGGCAGGTTTTGAGGGGAATCTCACAGTCCTCCCAGATCTGCAATAAAGTGATACTGAAAAAGAAAGAAAAAGATAAGCTATAAAGCAACAAACTCTCATCTGAGGCATTAAATAGTTAAAGGAATCCTCTCCTGTGTGTACAAACACACAGAAGCTCTACTGATGCATGTGCCATACTTTAATCTCTTATCAACAGCCATCCATGGAAAAAAGTTAACCAGAGAGTAACATAAAGTACAACAGATTCATTATACATCTTCGAGAAAAAAAATATATAGTGCTATAATATCTGTTAAGGAAAATCTGTATCCAAAGCCAAGACTAATTATTTCCCAGGGTTAGGGCCAACAATCTTACCTTTTCAAATGAAACTTGTTCTGGTTCATCATCTTTTCAGAGAGCTACTGAGTTAGTTTATATATTGTATGTGCAAGTTGCTAATTATATGTAAAATAGAGCCAGGTGAAATATAATCAACTATATACAAATTAAACTGTCAGGCACTATAAATCAGTGCAACCAAAGCTAAACTCACAAAGCAATGATTTATGACAGAAAATACTGGTAACAAGGGGCATAAGAGAGAATAAAACATTTGGTCCTTCTACATTGCTCCCTTCTGATAAAATGAAAATTTACTTCAGTGCTCTAAAACTGGGGACTGTGCCTCCATATTTTGTTAAATAAAGGTTTTCTAAAAGGGCTAAGAATCATACAAGACTATATCTTAGGGAAACTGTAATGGCAAATGATAAAGGGAGGGGAGTTAGGATTTTCAGGAAAAAATATTCCCATCATTATGCCTTTATTATGAAAACATTTCTTGTGTTCTTTGTATTTTGATAAAATATTTTTGAGACTGCTGAGATCAACAAGCTGCATTTATTGTGTAAATATTATCAATAGCTTGGACTACATAGTGTTCATTTGATGCCAGATGTGTTACATCTTAGCTTCCCTTGCAAAGGAGTTGGTTTTTTATTAAGTCACCCTTTGAGAGAAGACATTCCAGCTCGTATAATTTCATCAACCAGGAGAATGTTGGTGGCGATCACTGTGCTGAGAAAAAGACAAGAAGATGAGGAAAGTCCACCTACCCACTCTGAAAGGTGCTTTGCTCTTCAAAGATTATAGTATGCTATTTTATGAGACAAAGTTATTATATTTACAAGGATCGCCTCCTATGTTATAATTTCAACCACTTTACTGATAAAGTGGAAGCTTGATTTCATATTCCAGGAAAACTGAGCTCATTACTCTTTCACTTGATTTTTTTCCCCCACTAAGGGCCTAAAGTTTCTCTGTCTCCCCACCCTTACCAAATAAGCAATAAAATAACCCCTCATTCACTCACTGTCAATGAGTTGGAATTCATTATAACTGACCCTCTGACAGGTTTTCAGAGGCTCAAAATCACATGGGAGAGGACTGTCCATTTTTCTCCCGTGGGGCAGCTAGTGAATTTGAACTGCCTAAATCTGAGTTGCCAGTAGAACTTCTTATGTACTAGGCCACTCCTTATAATGTTGTTGTTTGCTGTTGATCAGAACTGACCCATTGCTGACCATTCAGCAGGTTTTCAGAGGCAGTAAAGTGCATGGGAGGAGATTTCCCATCTTTCTCCATTGGAGCAGCTGGTGGATTCAAACCACATGCCTTTGGGAATGCAGTGCAGTTTCATATTTCTGGGCCACCAGAACTAGAATATAAAAAAGGAAGCTCTGGTGTCTTAGCAGTAAGGAGTTGTTCTGTCAACCCAAAAGCAAGCAGTTCAAATCCACCAACTGTTTTTAGGAGAATGATAGGCAATCTCCTCCAGTGCAATTTACTACCTCTGAAAATTCACTGGAGGTTCGGCTATGAGTCAGTTCTGACTCAATGGTATATAACAACAAAATAGAAAAGGATTTATAAAATGACAAAAGCTTATCTTCTTAACTGGATCAAAATTTCATACATTTTACAGGCTTTTCCACTCTTAAGGTAACAAAAGTAATGAAAAATTTTAATATTCTCAATTATGTCCCTAAAGGCTTTATTTTCTCTTCATATTAATATAGACTTACCAAGAGTGAAGAAGTTGTTTTTTCACACAGTAATTATCCCAAATTCCTGCATCTGCTGCTACCATTGGTTTACCTGCAAAGTAAAAACAAATTATTTGAATGCTACAATCTTGATACATCCCCCTAATATTTGCTGTTATACTCTAATAGCATTTTTAATACACCACCAAAACAACTAATGCAAAGCTCATCAGTGACTTCATATTCCTTAATCCAGTGCCAAGTCTCAGTCCTCACACATCCCTAACATTGGCCAGTGTTGGTCCCATTTCCTGACTCCTTTTTCTTCCCTTGTCTTAGAGGATACCACGCTCTCCTGTTGTCTCTCTTTTGCACTAGGGACTCCTTCATATACTTTGTGGGTTGCTGTCTTCTTCCCTGAGTTCCTAATGTGAAGAACCCACTCATTTCTGGACTGCTCTCCTCTGTCTGTACTCACTCCATGAATGATCTAAGCTGTTCTTCTAGATTTAAATCACCTGTGTTCTGACATTCTTGAGTTTTTTTTCTCTCCTGCTCAGATCCTTCGTCAGCTGCAGATTCATATATCCAACTACATAGTTTACTTAGTGAAAACTACCGACACTTTAACTTAGCCAAAATTGAATGCTGACATTCCTTGCAAGAACCTATAATCTTCTCCAACCCAGTAAATAGCAACTCAAACCTTTTAGATGCTCAGTTGATGTCTTACCACAGAGCAGGCAGAGATCCTCTGAAGCATAACTAGATCATGTCACAACTCTGTTTCAAATACCTCCCTATTCCACCAGAGTCAAAGTCAAAGGCCTTACCTGGGCTCACATGCTGTCCCATGTAATTCGACCCTCTGTTGCCTCTCCCATCCCTTCCCCTTGTCAAAAACATCCAGTCCCACTTTTCCAATGACTTTCTGTCCCCTTTCCCTAAGTAGCCCTGGTGGCTAGTCCAGAGCAAGTTGGACACCTAATCCAAAGGCTGCATGTCTCTGGCAGTTTGAATTCACTAGAACCTCTGAGGGAGAGAGAGCGGAAGGTCCCTTCTCATTTTAATTTACAGCCTTGGAAACCTGATGGAGCATCACTGTGGGTCAGCAGTGATTCGATGGCAGTGAATGAGCTTGAGTTCCCTCTCTCTAGCACACTCTTTCCCCAGAGAACCACCAGCTAACTTACTTCATCATTTCTTAATCATCATAATTATGACTAAAGCAATGAGTTTTGAGTTTATCATCTTCTCAGTGAGGTCTGCCTGGACCACTCTCTAAAATAGCAACTCAATCCCTGCCCTCCTGTGCTAGCATTCATGATCATCCTTACACTACTCTTTTTTAAATTGTGATTTGAATGCAAGTTTACAAAGAAATTGGCTATTCCCTCACTCATTTATATAGATTCATTCCTCTTCTCTCCCCCTTCCGTCCCAATGCATGCCCTGTACCAGCTTGTTAGCTGCATTACTCATATTGTCTTATTGGCCATTCTTTTCAGAATTACCTTCTCTTCAGCAACTCCAGTGCTGTATTCCTTATCTGCCTGTTCTCCACACCTCCCACCTCCACCTCCACCACTCCTTAATCTTTGTGATTTTATCACAGTGGTCTTATACTACACTTGCCCCTTTGGGACTGAGTTAACTCGCTCAGCATCATGTCCTCTAGACTCGTCCATCTGTCCATCTCACAGTGTTTATTGAGATCTCCAGTGTTTTTCAGTGTTGCAAAATGCTCCATTGTGTGGATACACCACAGTTTCTCCATTCATTCATTGATGGACACACGGGTGGCTTCCAACTCTTCACTACTATGATAATGCTGCTACAAACAGGGGTGTGCATACCCTTATACCATACTTTTATATTTTTTTTCCATAGCATTTGCTATTCTCTACAATGTTAATGGTACTTATTTACGAAGCCCATCGTTTATCGCCTGTCTTTTCCCACTAGAATAGAAATTCGCAGGATTTTTGTCTTTTTTGTTCTATGTTAAATTCAAAGAGTCAAATAATAAGCAGTCAATACCTATTTCTTAAATTAATATTTTCTTTTAAGAAGTTCAAGAGTAAACTGAAAATATTAGAAATGTAAATATTAGAATCACCTAAACCCTCACTCTTCTTACAAAATCCCTTTCTTTATTAAGTAGCTAATTTTTCTTCTTTCTTACCTGTATTCAAATCTATGCCAACAAGTTGTTTTGATTCTGAATGCTCAGCCTGAACTTTTAATAGTGTTTCCTGCTCGTCGTAACCAGCATTCTGAGCAAGAGCCTTTAGGAACAAAAAGAATAATCAATATTCTGTGTGGAATATCTATACATAAATACTTGAGTATCAAACATAAAAAAGAAGACACTACTTGCTCATTTTCAGAAAACACATTAATAACATGCTAATTATAGTATTCTTGTTTTGAAGAATTTCATTCTTAACCTAAATCAAAATATTATTTTAACTATTTAGTTGCTGTGATGCTGAACCTTGTGCCACTGTGGTGTCAAACGCCATAACGGTTACCCATGGCGGACAGTGTTCGGTGGAGCTCCCAGTTTAAGACAGGTTTGGAAGCAGGAGTGGCATCCACTTCCTAAACAACATACTTCTGGAAACTCTATGAACTTTGAAAAACAGGAATAGTTATAGAAAGGCTTCAGGTCTTTTATTCATAGGGTTGCCATGAGTCATGCTTGACTCGACGGCAACCACCACCACCACCACCATTCCCTAGTTCTGTTCCCATGACAGTCTCTTGGTCAAGGTATAGGCTTCTCATAAGTAAGTGTTCTGGGATTCCCATTCTTCTCAATGTTGACCACAGTTTGTTATGACCCACAGACTCAAGTCCCTCTGCATAGTCAACAAAACATCTGCAGCACCTTTGTGCCTCTCTTCTCCCTGAGGAGAGCCATGACTTGTGGATGAAGGTATCCATGCTCTAAAACAGCTTCATATTCCAAGTGATCCCAAACTTGATGAGGAAAAGGGTACTACCAATGTACTGTGTTTACCAATTTGTGTCAAGCATAGGATCATTCCTTAGTAAGAAAAGAGATCTAATTATAAAGAGTCTACAAATTATGGATATTCTGAAGAATTATCAAATTATCAATTATCCAAGACAGGAGCCTTTGCTGGAATTATTAATATTTTAATTCAGGTAATTGCATATTTTCCATCTTTTTTCCTATAGTTTTTAGTAGTTCATAATCAAAGAAAAGAGGGATTGTACTTTTCTGTCCTGTACTTTTTAAGCAAAGAAGCAAAGAACTTTCTTTTTCTACCTTGTTGTTACATGGAAAAATCTGGTTTCTCTCCTTTCTATAGGAATTAGAATGACAATGACAAACCCAAGCTGGTATCTGGGAGTGCTAACGAGCATGATGTGGGAGAAAGATGAGCAATATCCTCCTCTACAATTTAGAGCCTCTGAAAATCCACTGGAAGGTCAGCTATGGTAGGTTCTGACTTGATAGCACTCAACGACAAACAGCCTGAAAAAGATCCAAGTCTATAGACCTCAAAGTGGATTACATCTCAATATTAAGAAAACAAAAACTCTCACCATCAGACCAAATAGCAACATCCTGATAGGTGGACAAAAGATTGAAGTTGTCAATGATTTAATTTTTCTTCAATCCACAATCAGAAGGCTTAATAGCAGCAGTGAAGAAAGCAAAAAACCTGTTGCATTGGGCTAGGCTGCTGTCAAGGACCTCTTTAAAGTCTTGAGGAGCAAAATGACAGTCTGAAGACTAAGGCGTGCATGACTTAAGCTGTAGTATCTTCAATTGTTTCACATACATGTGAAAATTGTTGTTGTTGTTGATGATGATGTTGTTATGCACCGTCAAGTTGCCTGCAACTCATAGCGACCCTATGTACAACAGCCCCAAACCTTGCTTTATCCCTTGCCAATCTTATTGTCTCCAACACACCTATCCCCATTCCCCAGTGGCTGAACCAATCCATCTCATCGAGGGTCTTCCTCTCCTGAACTGTCCCTCCACCCTCCCAAGTATGACGTCCCTCTCTAAGGACTGATCCCACCTCACAACATATCCAAAGCATGTCAGACAAAACCTCAGAATCCTTGCCTCCAAGGAGCAGCCTGGCTTTACCCTTTCAAGGACAAACCTGTTTCTTTTCCTAGCAGTCCATGGCATATTCAAGACTTTTCTCCAGCACCACAGCTCAAAGGCATCAACTCCCCTTCTATCATCCCTAGTCATTGTCCAGCTCTCTGATGCATAGCAAGTAATTGCAAAGACCATGGCCTGTATCAGGCACACCTTAGTCTCCAGACTGGCATTGTTGCTCTTCAGTACTTTAGAGAGGTCTCTGACAGCAGACATTCCCAATGCAATTTGTCTTTTCAATTTCCTGGCTGCTGGTACCAAGAGTGTTGACTGTAGAGCCAAGCAAACTGAAGCTGTCAACAATCTCAATCTCTTTACCATCTATCATGATGCTGCCAATCGGCCCACTGGTGAGAATCTTTGTTTTCTTAATGTTGAGCTTCAATTTATATTGAAGGCTACAGTCCTTGACCTTCTGCAGCAAGCTCTTCAGGTCCTTCTTAGTTTCAGCAAGGAGGGGTGGGTCATCTGCAAAATGCAGATTGTTGAAAAGTCTACCTCCAATCTTGATGCCACACTTCTCCTCATAGAGCCCAGCCTCCAGATAATCTGTCTGCATGTAGATTGAAAAGATATGGAGATAGGACACATCCTTGACACACACCCTTCCCAATTTTGAACCATGCAGTCTTTCCTTGCTCTGTTCTAACAACTGCCTCCTGGTCCAAGTATAGGTTTCACATAAGCACAATCAAGTGTTTGAGGATTCCCATTATTCTCAGAGTCAGCCACAGTTTGTTGTGATCCACACAGTCAAATGCCTTTGCATAGTCAATGAAACACAGACATTCCTCTGGTACTGTCTACTTTCAGCCAAGATTCATCTGACATTAGCTATAATACCCCTAGTGCCATAGCCTCTTCTAGATCCAGCCTGCACTTCAGGCAGTTTTCTGTTGATGTGCTGTCCAAGTCATTTTTGGATAATCTTCAATAGAATCTTGCTTCCATGTGATATCAATTATACTGTTTGATAATGTTCACACTCTGTCAGGTTACCTTTCTTTGGAATGGGAACAAATATAGATCTCTTCCAGTCAGTTGGTCAGGTAGTTGTCCTCCAGATTTCTTGGCACAACTTAGTGAGCACATCCAGGGCAGTGTCTGTTTGCTGAAATATTTCAATTGGCATGCCATTGATTCCTGGGGACTTGTTTTTTGCCAATTCTTTCAGAGCAGCTTGAAATTCTTCCTTCATCAACACAGGCTCTTGCTCATACATTGTTTCACGGAATTCTTCAGTGTCCACCAATTCCTTTTGGTATAATAACTCTGTACACTCTTTCCATCTTCTTTTAATGCTTTCTGGATCATTTAATATTCTCTCCAAAGCATCCTTAAGTATTGCAACTCAAGGTTTGAATTTGTTCTTCAGTTTCTTCAGATTAAGAAATGCTGAGTAAGTTTGACCCTTTTGACTTTCTGACTCCAACTCCTTGTACATTTAACTGTATACTTTACTTGTCTTCCTGTACTGCCCTCTGGAATCTTCTGTCCAACTCCTTAATATCTTGATTTCTTCCCTTTGCTTTGGCTTCTTGGTGCTCCAGCGCAATATTATACAATGAAAAAAGAAGACTGAAAAAAGAATTAATGCCTTTTAATGGTTGTATGGGTGAAGAGTATTGACTATATCACGAACTGCCAAAAGAATAAGCAAATCTGTCTTAGAAAAAGTGCAACCAAAGGGAACCTTGGAGGTAAGGATGGTGAGATTTCATCTTACATAGTTTGGGCATGTTTTCAGGAGGGGCTAGACCTTGGAAAAGAGCATTATGCAGAGAAAACCTTCAATAAAATGAGTTAACACAGTGACTACCCAAGTAGGGTGGGGGTTTGTGCAAGTATGGTGGTGGCAATGGTGCAAGACCAGGCCTGGTTTCCACCTGCTGTTCAGAGCACTTCTGTGAAATGTAGTCAAGTTGATGGCACCTAACAACAACAAACAGCCTCAGGTCCTTAACTTTCACAACTTTAAAATGCAAAACTCTGGATATCATTTTTTTGATATCTAACTTAAAAAAATTCAAGTTCCAAACTTCTCCATCATGCTTGATCACAGACCCATTCTGAAGGAAATGTATGTAGCTACTTGTAAGAAGTATGCTTCAGAGGAAGAGGCAAGGGGATAATCTGGCTTCATGAAGCTTCTGCAAGGGCTCTAAATTTGTACAAAAGTTATCCTGGTTTTAATATCATGTAGATAAGAGAAAAACTATCTGAGAATATTCAAATAGATTCAGACTCTCTCGTCTGCTGTTAAATAATACAGGTCATTTGAAATCAGATGCCTTTATGCCTACCCCCTTGTTCAGTTGCCTTTAGGGGAGATGTACCTTAGGAATGATGAGTAGGGCCTCAGCAAAAGCCTGGACTCCAAGACGAGCTCTCCCTTTGACTCTGTGCTTGTGTGCAGCTAGGCTTTCAGCTATTGCCACTTCAACTGCCCCGGCCCCTGGAACCACACAGCCTATCAGAGGGGAAAAATGATTCACAAGGCATGTCAAACTTCAGATAAACCACATAAAAATTCACTATTCAAATGTGTTCTACTATGCTGCTTATCTCTAAAATTAATTTCAATACATAGAGAAATTGAGTTAGCTTAGTAATTAGGTAGTCTCATGAAACATTCTGAGGTGGCTGCTGTGTACCTGTACCATTGAGTCAAAACCAACTTGTAATTAACCTTCCAGGGGGGTTTCAGAGGCAGTTAACTGCACTGGAGGAGACTGTTCATGTTTCTTCTGCAAAGCAGATGGTGGGCTTGAGCTGCATGCCTTTGGGTTAATAGTTCAGCTCCTTACTGCTAAAGCATCAGTGCTCCCTATCTCGATTTGTTGTTGTTAGGTACTGTCCAGAAGGAACTGGCCCATAGCTGATCCTCCAGTGGATTTTCCCCTGAGGAACAGCGTTGGTGGATTCAAACCATGTGCCTTCAGATTAGGGTGCAGCTCTTTATCACTAGACCAACAAAGCCGGCTAGGTTAGATGCATTAAACTATTAGGAGTGGTATAGAAAATTGGCTAGTAACAGTTTTATTTGTTTGTTTTGCTATCAACAGTTTTATTTCATTGTTATTTTTCTGGCTAAGAAGGATAGACATTTCTTTCAATGTTATCTTACTCTTTCTTGATTACATTTAAAAGGTTGTAACCATGGTAGGTAACTGATTTTAATATATGATCCGAAATTTTTTTAGGCCAATACAGACCTAAATACAGTTTTGGAATGGAATTCTTTAGGTCTAAATGAAGAATTTGTTGTGTATACTAGAACAGAACTCAGATTGAAAACTGAGAAGATTTTGTTATTCTAGAGCAAAAATCTTGTTAAATACATCAATTTTCACATCAGGGTGTGACTTTTACACCTGCTTATGTGTTTTTATAAAGCATATGACTCTTCTTTGAACCAAAAAACTTACTCTGTAATTACCCATATTTAAAACAAAACAATATAAAAAAGAATCTCTCCTTTATACTACATCATCTTTTTACTACTGTGTAGTTTATCTGCTTCATTTCACAATGTCACATTTCAAAAGAGTCCTTTGCTTTCTACGAAGATGGTGCCAAAAGCAAAGAAGGAATCCCCTGCCCCTCCCAAAACTGAAGCCAAAGCAAAGGCTTTAAAGGCCAAGAAAGCAGACCTGAAGGACATCCACAGCCAAAAAAAAAGAAAATCTGCACGTCAGTCACCCATCTTCCGGCAGCCTACAACACTGAGACTCTGAAGGAAGCCCAAATACCCCTGGAAGAGCGGCCCCAGGAGAAACAAGCTTGACCACTATGCCATCATCAAATTTCCCCTGACCACTGAGTCAGCCATGAAGAAGATAGAAGATAACAACACACTTGTGTTCACTGTGGATGTCAAGGTCAACAAACACCAAATTAAACAAGCTGTAAAGAAGCTCTATGACTTTGAGTGGTTAAGGCCAACACTGTGATTAGGCCTGATGGAGGGAAGAAGGCCTATGTTCTACTTGCTCCTGACTATGATGCTTTGGATGTTGCCAACAAAATTGGGATCATCTAAACTGAGTCCAGCAGGCTAATTCTAATTACAAATTTTGCTCACCATACAAAAAAAAAAAAAAAGTCTTTGACCCACCAGGTAGATCACATCCTCACCTCCCTTTCATACTTCAAAAACAAAAGGTCCTTGTTAAATACTGAATTGTTGTTGTTATTGATTGCCATTGAATGAAGTATGACACATAGTGACCCTATGAAAAAAAGGCCTGAAGCCTTTCTATAACTATCATCATTTATCAACGTTCATAGAGTTTCCAGAGGCATGTTGTTTACGAAGTGGATGTCACTCCTGCTTCCAATAAATACTGAATATATACCAAAAATACTTGTAAGATATAAATATGGAAAAACATATATAAAGTATAAAAAATAACAATAAAATAAATAAACCAGGCTGCTTCTTGGAGGCAAGGATTCTGAAGCTTCGTCCGACATACTTTGGACATCTTGCAAGGAGGGACCAGTCCTTGGAGAAGGCCATCCTGCTTGGGAGAGTGGAGGGACAGCACAGGAGAGGAAGACCCTCATTGAGATGGATTAACTCAATGACTTGGGTAATCGGGGTAGGTGTGTCGGAAACAGTGAGACTGGCACAGGACAGAGCAGGGTTTAGGGCTGTTGTACACAGGGTCGTTATGAGTCGCAAGCATCTTGACGGCATATAATAACAATAGAACACTAATGTCTCAGCTTAAGAAACAGAACACTTCCAATACTTTTGAAAACCTCTCTGATTCTATTCTCCTATGAAAACATATCAAAATTTATGAGATTGGGAAAGAAGTCTCAAACCAATGACTCCAGTGTCCACCTGAAAAAAAAATTGGAAAAGAGCTCTTTCTTTTCCTCAACCATTGTACCTAGTGTGGCATTGTGTTGTCTTCACCATGTCTTCTCATAAGACTTTCAGGATCAGGATGTTTCTGGCCAAGAAATGAAAGCAGAGCTGCCCCATTCCTGAATGGATTCAAATGAAAACTGGTAATAAAATCAGGTAAACTCCAAGGGGAGACACTGGAGAAGAAGCAAGCTGGGTCTCTAAGGAGTCATACACATGATGGCAGCAAACATAATGAACCTTTGTTCATTAGCATCGCACCATGTCAAGGTGACAGACATGCTATCATATCAAGTTTAAAATCATGTCACAATCTGATCACTTCTCATGGGATGAATGTGGTTTTATGCACCTATGTTTTCAGATGCACTAATAAATATGTGAAACCGATGGAGTAAAAGCAATTATGTCAGTCAAGAGACTAAGGTATGCCTGGTCCATGCCATAGTCTTTGCAATTACTTGCTATGCATCAAAGAGCTGGACAATGACAAGGGGTGACAGAAGAATCAATGCCTTTGAGTTGTGGTGCTGGAGAAGAGTATTGGACACACCATGGACTGCTAAAATAACAAGCAGGTCTGTCTTGGAGAGGGTGAAACCAAGTTTCTCCTTGGTGGCTAGGATTTCAAACTTCCATCTCACATACTTTGAGCATGTGGCCAGGAGGGATCAGGCCTTGGAGAAGGACATTTGCTTGGAAGGGTGGAGGGACAGAGCAGGAGAGGAAGACCCCAGATGAGACGGACTGACACTGAGGCAATGGGATTAGATGTGTCAGAATTAGTGAGACTAGCTCAGGATAGGGCAGGGTTCAGAGCTATTGTACATAGGGGCACTATGAGTTGCAGGTGATTCGATGGCACATAAGAACACATAATAAATTGTTATCTGTGGGAGAAGGATGGGAAATCTTCTCCCCATGAGAGTAACTGTCTCTGAAAACCCACCAGAGGGTCAGCTATGGGTTGGTTCCAACTCTACAGTAAACAACAACATAATATAAATAAAGCCTTGGAAACAACCCAAGTGCCCCTCAACAGACAAATGGTTAAAGAAACTGTGGTTCAGTCACACAATGGAATATTATGCTTCAAAAATAAATGATCTAGAATTTGTGAACTACTGCACAACACAGATGAAACTAGAATAAACTATGCTGAATGATAAAGTTACTCACAAAAGGATAATTCTAAGACCACCAATATAGAGACCTAAGAAACAGTTTATATACTGACAGAATCAACATTGGAGGGTTAACAGAGAGGAGAAAGAAGCAAAAGAGAAGGGACAAAAAAAATCATCACATTCATAAACTGGTGTTCTGCCTATTGTAGCAGTCTCCCTCCCCCACTACCCCAGAAGTCCCTTCTCCTTACCCCTTTATTCTTTTCAAAGGAAAAAACAAAAGCCACATGTAGCAATACAAAGAAAGCAGGGCAAAACAAAAAAGACATTGAATTGGTAGTTTAAAACTTTTCTACTTCAAGAACATATGGCTTCCTAGATGCATTCTACCAAACATTTAAGGAAGAAATAATGTCAATTCTATATACTTTCAGGAAACTGAAGAGAAAGAATCCCTTGCAAGTAATTTTATGAGACCAATTTAATTTTGACACCAAAATTTAAAAAAAGGAGTTACGAGGGGGGGAAAGTACAGACTGCTATCCCTTATGAATACAGATACAGTATTAACAAAATTTTACAAACAAAACCCAACAATATATACATAGCCACTCACTCACTGCTGTGAAGTCACAATCAACACATAGCTGACCCATGAGTAGATTTTTGAAGACTGTAAATCATGTAGGAGATCGCCCGCCTTTGTCCTGAGGAGCAGTGGATGAATTTGAGCTGCCTGCCTTTGAGTTGGCAGCGTACGTCCCAATCCACAAGGCCATCAGAGCTCCCTACACACACAGCAGAGCCATAAATCTCCATGCCTCTTGCAAACAGTGGCTAACCACGTCTAAGAAGAAATCAGATAGGCTCCTATTTATAATTTCAGTCACTTAAATATTTATAAAATGAGTACTGGTAGTGCAGTTGATTAAGCATTAGGCTGCTAACCAAAAGGTCAGCAGTTCAAAGCTACTAGCCACTCCACAGGAGAAAGACGTTGCATTCAGTTTCTGTAAAGTTAAACAATCTAGGAAATAGTAGCAAGCAACTCTAACTGTTCTATGGTTTTTACTTTTTTGGCTATTATGAATAATACTGCTACCAATGTTCGTATACAAATTATATATATTTGGGGAGGGTAGGAAGAAAATACGCAACAATGAAAAAAATCTAATAAATATTAAAAACAAACAAATTTTTGTATATCCCTATGTTTTCAAATCCCTTATGCATAGATCTAGAAGTGAAATTGGTGGGTCATATGATAATTTTTCCATTAACATCACATTAATTGACATGACATGGGCTTGACAATGACATAACACTGACTTGACACTGACATGATCTTCGCACTGACTTGACACTGATATGGCACTGACTTGACATTAACATTGCATTGACTTAACCTGACATTGACTTAACAATGACATGATATTGACACAATGCAGACATGATATTGATTTGACACTGACATGACAATGTCCAACTGACTAGAAAATACC